GCCGGGGCGTGTGGGTGGAGTTGGTGCCGACGCCACCGGGTTTGGCTCTCCCCCGCTCCAGGGATTCTGGTCTCCGGCTGCGGGCGGCAGCGCCGGCCTTGGGGGCGAGGCGGCGGCACAGGCACAGGCAGAGGGGCGAGACCAGCAGGATGCCGACGTCGGGTGCCACGAGGCGCACCGAGTTGGGGAGGTCGCTCAAGTCCAGCCTGAAGGGGAGAGCGGGGCAAGGGAAGGCTTGGGGGTGCCGCCCCCCGGCTACTACCAGCCCCCAGCCCCACACTGCTGGGGTACCCTTACCTGGTGACACCGATGTGCCGGGCAAGGACCTCCCAGGTGCTGCCTGTGGGGAAGCAGGGAGGTGCTGAGTTGGGCAGACCCCGCGCGGGCAGGCTCTCAGCCCACCCAGAGCGGGCGGCTTCCCCACGGGGAAGACACCCCACATCCACGGGGCCCCAGGACGGGGTCTGTGCCCACTGCAGCAGCCACCGAGAGGGCTCCCTGGCACAGCACAGGATGCCCCCGGTGCTTGGCGCGTGGCTGGGACCTTGCAGAGCCTCAGCAGCCCCCCAGCCCCCAGAAGGATGGGATCCCCGCACCCCCATGTCACCATCTTGGGGGTCCAGCCCCAGAGCACAGCGGGGAGGGGGTGAAGCCTGGGAGAGCAGAGGGGCAGGGGTGTGAGGGCAGGCGTGGGCACCCTCGTGGCAGGGTGCCCTGGCACCCCGTACTCACAGCTGGGCCCCAGCAGCTGGTCCAGGACGGGCAGCGTGTACAGGCATATTTGGAAAACGAAGTGGGCAAGGAGGAAGAGGATGCTGGTCCCCAGCAGAGCCTTGAGGAGGCGGCCAGTGTGACCTGCAAGACACGGGCACCCTATTACCCATCGCCCAAGGTGATCCCGGAATGCACCAGCACCCCTTGAGGCAGAGTTGAGGAGGGGTGCGCTGTGGCTGTGCCGGGAGATGCCAGGGGTCTGCCCCAGGGACATTGTCCCACTAGGACCTCGCATCTCTCACCCAGCACAGCCTAAGAGCACCCGTTCTGCTGCTTTAGTGGAGAAACTGAGGCACGGGGCAATGCAGGGCCCCAGGACCGCATTCCCTCCCCTTGCCCCTGCAGCACCCTCCCACCTAGCTGGCACCGGGACCGGCATCGGGACGCAGCTCATCATCCCCATCCCGATCCCTGGTGGAACGTCCTGGCGGGAGGCGGGGGGGGGACACGATACAGACTGTGGGGTGGGAGCCAGGGGTTCCCCCACACCGTG